GTAGAAAGAAATGTTTTATTGGTAGACATTTTATTTCAAATGCATTTTTTTTAGCGTGCAGAACTCTTCTTGTCTGCCCGCCTTCATGCTTTGCTGTGTTGGATGTGTGGGTGCCAGGCAGGTCCCTTACCTTCTATTCATACTCGCGGGCCGCGGTCCCTGCCTCACTGCTGTTTGGCCTCAGCAGGACTCGGGGCCCCTGTATGGTTCCGGTGCCTGCCCCTCGCTCTGGAAGGCTGGCATTTCAGTTCCGCTGCTTTTTTTGCTTTTTTTCTGGAGGACACGGAGAGCAGGGGCCTGGGAGGTGAGGTTGGGGTGCCCGTCCGTGACTGTCCTCTGCAGTGTCTTTGGAAGTCCAGTTGCCGGTGTTGAGACTGGGGCGCCTGATTGTGATTCTCCCCTGCACAGGTGCATGCCCCTCACTGACACCTGTCTCTTCCGTCCTCCCAAACACACGGCAGTTCTGCCCGGACTCCCCTCAGCTCTGGGCTTTGCGACCAGCCAGCTGCCCGAACCCCATGGAGGCGGGGCCGGGTCCCCCTCTGACCCGCCTGGATGCTGCCCGGTTGCTCTATCCTTTGGTTTTCTAAAAGTCAAGGGGAAAAAAAGGTGCCAATCCCACACCTGTATTAGCATTTGCTCTCTGTGCTCTATGCTTTTGTTGTATTTTTTTCTTCCGTCCTCCCAAACACACGGCAGTTCTGCCCGGACTCCCCTCAGCTCTGGGCTTTGCGACCAGCCAGCTGCCCGCACCCCGCGGAGGCGGGGCCGGGTCCCCCTCTGACCCGCCTGGATGCTGCCCCGTTGCTCTATCCTTTGGTTTTCTAACTTCGGTCCCTCTCCCCACTGGACGTGACTCTTGAAGCAGGAATAGTTTTTCTGGGCCAGAGACAATGAATGCCTAGCACATAGTAGGTCAGAAAACATACCTTGGCTAAAATGAATGAACATTTAAAAATGAGCTAAGAGGCTAAGAGGCTTTCTCCTCCCTGGGGTTTACTTTACAGCTGACCTCAGAATCCTCCCAGCAGCCAAGGAACAAAGGAGAAATCTGGTGGAGCCACTGGTTCCCTCACTGCATTAGCGTGCTTCAGGCGCGTTAAAACCATTTCCCAGGCCAAGCCCTAACCCAGAGAAGATGAGAAATCAAAACAGTCAAGGGAAGCCCGGCTGGGTGGCTCAGTGGTTGACCGTTGACACATGAGCCAGGAGGGCACATGCAGGGGTTGCGGGCTCCATCCCCAGTGTGGGGCGTGCAGGAAGTGGATTGGATCAGTGATTCTCTCTCATCATTGATGTTTCTCTCTCTCCTTCTCTCTTCCTCTCTCTGAAATCAATGAAAACATATTTTAAAAAAAAGTCAAGGGGAAAAAAAGGCGCCAATCCCACACCTGTAATAGCATTTGCTCTCTGTGCTCTATGCTTGTGTTGTATTTTTCTCTCTCTCGTAGCATTAAAAATGGTCTTGAATTATCTTTGATCTTCTTTGCCTTTGAAAGGAAAAAGGAACAAAGTAAACAAGAGGAAACGAAATTTTAATATGTAAATAAAGTATCTAGCAAAGAAAGTGAAGCAAAGAGGTTTAATTTTTAGATTAATTTTCCTAAATTCAGTAGATGTTATTCCCAGATCCTTCCTTTTAAAAGACGTGTCATCTCATAACATCTAACGTTAAGTGTATCTTTTAATTGTTCAGAGTAAATGCCAAAGAGCCGCATGCGGCTCGCGAGCCGCAGTTTGGAGCCTCCTCAACCTTCTCTCTGCAATTCCTTGGGGAGAACCCCCTTCTAAGTCAAAGTGGTGGAGGAGAGGATCCAGACACATTTGTGTTATTACCCCAGAAAGATTTAGCTGCACTTGTACCATATTTATTTGTTTTATCCATTTAATTCAAATGTGAGGCATTTGAGAAAAATGCCATTAAAATAATTTCCAAGAGAAGCATATCCTTTATACATAAGGAAAACTGTGTACAGCAGCGGACAATTAACTTCTAAAATGTTTGTGCTGCTGCCTGAGGGTCCTTAGTGCAGGGGAATGGGCACAGGTGACTGGGAGGGTCCAGAGAAGTCTCTCTTTACAAAAGAAGGAAATGAAGGTACTGTCTTAGGCAGAACAATGTCCCCCCCCCCCCCCTTGCCCCCTGAGATGGCCACATCCTAGTCATCAGAACCTGCCAATGTTTGGGTACAAATCAACTTACAAAGTTTGTAGGTGGAATTAAGGCTGCTAATTATCTGGCCTTAAAGAGATTGTCTTTTTTTCTTAAACCCATGTGGGGCCAATGTACTCAAGGAGGGGACTTAAGGGGCGAGAGTAGGCAAGGGAATGGGTTCCCACTAGGCCTCCCATAGGAGAGGAACACAACCCTGCCACCCACTAGGCTTCCCACCCACGGGGGTGCAGGAAACCCATGTGGTGTGGGGTGATGTGTTACAGCGGCAACGGGAAACTAACCCAGCTGCATCAGACAATGTAATGTTCCACCGTCATTGAAGTAAGACCAAGAATGCCTAATGAGGGGGAAATATTCACGGCCTATTACCAGGTTGGCAAGGCAGGCGAGGAAACACCACCTGTAATAAAATAAAATAAAATACAGACCTGTTTAGATAAAAGCTGAAGGATAAGTTCTTCCTGGTTCTCTGTGGATGCTGGGATTGGTTTTTTCCTTTTCTGCATTTCCCATGTTTCTTTTGTAATCAGAAAGTGAAAAGTTAAATATGATTGCCCATCTACCTGAAGGTTATTCTACCAACAGCATTGCAGCTCCTTTCAAAAAATACTGTTTTCAAGAAAGGGGAGGAGTTAGAATTCCTATCATGCCACAATTAGACTTTGAATGCTATTTGCATTAATGGCGTCAGGGTTAATTTCAATAGCCAGTTAGCACCTGCATAGTGTCAAACAGTGATGGTGAACCTATGACACGCGTGTCAGAGGTGACACGCGAACTCAGTTTTTTGGTTGATTTTTCTTTGTTAAATGGCATTTAAATATATAAAATAAATATCAAAAATATAAGTCTTTGTTTTACTATGGTTGCAAAGATCAAAAAATTTCTATATGTGACATGGCACCAGAGTTAAGTTAGGGTTTTTCAAAATGCTGACACGCCAAGCTCAAAAGGTTCACCTTCATTGGTCTAAGACCTAAGTCCCCGGTGCTTGAACTTCCCTCTGGGTCGGCTGGATGACCCTTTATTGGTCATAGTGGAGGCAGCAGGGCACCATCATCCTTAGAGGCCCCGCCTTCTCCCCACGCTCTGTGAACTGGATTTTCATCAGGGGTGGTTTTTATTGTTGCTCTTTATATGTGTAGAGAGCAAAATGTAAAGGAAACTAACCCTCTCTAAGCAGGATAAAACTTGTTTCGTCGTCTCACTGGATGTCAAGTACATTCTTAAAAATATTACTTAGTGACATAAATAAAACGGCGAACCGTTAGTGTAAAGGCCTGACTCCGGGGGGCGGGTGGGATGTCATTACTGACTCGGGGGCAGGGACCGGAGGGCTGGGCCTCGGGGAGCTGGGGTCCGGGGTGGCTCCAGCTCGGTGTCTGTGCTCCCGGAAAGTCCCGTAACCTCTCGAGCAGCAGTGGGAGGTGGACTGTGACTGCCCTGTCCCCTGGGGCTCCTGTGAGAAGTCAAGGAAGAGCCATGCCTCTCCCGGTGCGGGAATCCGGAAAGGGTGGGTATCCTTGCATCTGAGCGCCTTTATTACTGAGCCCTGGTATTGAGATGTCGCACCTGGAGGGCATTCAGGAACTGCTTGTGTTTGTACCCTCTGGGGCTATTTCGAGGCGTGTTTCCTTGTCGTGATGAAGTATCTCCTGTGTGCCCGACACCTCCGGTGTCCAGGCTAATGGCAGGAGCGGCAGCCCTTGCGTCCCCGTTCGTGGGAATTCTGTCACTCACTTCAATGGCACTAGGAGCCTGCAGCCAGCGTCTCCGACGCTTTGTAACGGGTACAGTCTCTCTCCTCCTGTGATAGAGCATCTGGAAGGATCAGGCTGTTGTCAGGTACCGGTCACCAGGGAAGAGGAAGACAAACTGGCCCTTCATGTGGGCTCTGAGCTCTCCCAGGGGCAGTGGGGGTTGGGGGGGGGGGGGAGGGACCCGGCACCCTCAGTCCTTTAAGGTAGATGTGCAAAGAGCGAAGACACTGGGGGATTTAGCCCTTGGTGGACGGGCGTGAAAGTTATAATTAAAGATGCACGTTTCACAAAACAATAGCACCTCACTGGAACTTACCTTCTCCATGCCACTGGCTTCATTCAGACCACAATGAAGGACCTCTTATGTACATGCTGAACTCCAGCCCGAGCCTTACTTGGCTACATAGCAATCATATCAAAGCCTCCGATACTATTCCCACAAAACCCAAAGAATAAAGCAGGCACTTAAAGCAGGTCTGTGTTTCTTCCGAGTTAAATATGAGTGACCTGAAGAGCCAGTTACTCATGTAAAAATGAGGCATAAAAGATAAATTCACGCCCTGGCCAGTGTTGCCGAATGGTTAGAGCATTGGCACAGGCAGTGAAGGGTCTCGGGTTCGATTCCTGGTCAAGGGCATGCACCTGGGTTGCAGGTTCGATTCCAGTCCCTGTTGTGCAGGAGGCAACCAAGCAATGTGTCTCTCTCACATTGACGTTTCTCTCTTTCTATCTCCCCACCATCTCCCCCTCCCTCTAAAAAAAAAAATCAATGGAAAAAGTATCTTCTGGTGAGGGTTAACAACAAAAAGAATAAATTCTTAAATCAGATTTAAATAATCAAATGAAACATCCTTGATTTTGCTAGTTTGCTTTCCCCTTGTTGGAATAAATTATTAGATTGGCTGTGGAGACGCTGGCACCTTAGGCTGTTTCTGAGTACAAGTATGGGTTATGAATTTTGTGGTAAATGTAGGCACACAATATCATTTCAGCTTTAAAAACTGCTAAAAGTTAATAATGATGCTGTTCAGAAAGTTTATAAGGTTTCGCAATCATTGTTTTAACACAGAAATCTGTTTATTAAACCCAACAAAACAAAATTATACCAGCCCTCAATTTTTGAATTTTCATTTAAATAAGCAAACTCTAAATCCACATCTTAAAAGATGTTTGTGCATCTATGTATTTCCAAAATACTCATATTTCAATAAGATTTTTCACATTATATTCACCAACAGTATCACAAAATTTTTTGTTTGTTTTTGTTTTTTGTTTACATAACTTGTAAGGAACAGTCGTTCTAGAAACACTAGAAGAAAAAAGCATAGCAATGTCCACAGTTACAAGAAAAAGTGCACATTACTTGGTCACAATCACAGTCATTACTTGAAAAACTATAACAAGTAGATAAGAAATTTCACTGATGCCTAAACGTATCAAAAACTGAATGACATAAATTTTACATAAAAATAAGGCAAAGTTCAGGAATGCGCAAAGAACTTTTAATCCAACCAAAGCTAAACAACAGAAAAACTGTAAGAGAAGCATTAACTGATGTACTCCCTACATAGCTTAAAAACAGGCTCGCCTCAGTGCACAAAGAAAACACCCTTCATGTGTACCCAACGCTACAAAATCAGAAAGAAGGGCAGAGGATGGGGTCGAGGAGGGGCCGGTCATTTAAGTTGCCACTGCAGCCACCAAGAGTCCCTTACACCATGTTGACCCAGGACTGTAAATCATACATGTCATATCAGGAGAGGCAATGGTCTTTTTGGAAACTATGAAATGGAGAAATGAAAATTAAACTACACATGAGTGCAAATTTTCAGATTGTCACTTGCAACCTCCTAACATTGACATCTACATCCAGTTGCTGCTGGAGGGATGCCTGTCAGACAGAGCAGCGGCTGTGTGGGGTGAGCTGCAGGAAACCAAGGTGCGACCCCCCTCCCCCCCAACGATATGTCTTTTGAAATATTAAACTGTGATGAAAACCTCTACGGCAAAGCTGCAGTGTTGCCTGGGGTCAGCGTGAGTGCAGGCTTCTCCTGGAAGTACTTCCTGATATGACGATGTAAAGAACATAGGCAAGGGTTGTTGTTTTTTCCAGCATCAAGTGTTATTTTTGTAGAAAGAATTTGGAAAGAGGAGAAGGCAAAGGGATGTGGAAAAGGTACTTACAGTAGTTTCTCAAAACAGTTTTCTTTTAGGACCTATGAAAAAGTTACCAAAGTAAAAATGACCATTTTGAATGAAAAACAAGTTTCCTTTTTATAAAAATTACATATATATATATTTTTTTAAAATACAAGATCCTTTTCATTGTGATAACCTGTAACAAGAAATTTTGGCTTTGTGTTTTCTTCTTTGCCAGATCCTGCAGCTTTCAGTCCAATAAGTCAGTAGCAAATTCCACTAATATTTCAGTTGGATCTGGAGCTATTCTTTACACCACAAGCTTCTTCCATTTTATCCTTGAAGTAGGAATCTACAGCCTTTTTTTTTTGGCCCAGACAGTTATGCTGACACGAAAACAAAAAGTAGCAGGCCGGACACACAGCATCTCAAGTGCTTCAGAGGCCAGCGTTCCTTTGAAGCACCTGAACACATCACACTACGGACCCAGGACAAGGTGGCAGAATGGAAGTGTTTCCCTTAAGACTGTGCAGTAGGGCCCTCTCTGCTGGGAAGTCAGAATGTCATTAGTGCAAACGGAGACCTCAGTGATGAGGATGGCCTTCCGAGTCAGTTCTGCTGTAAAATGAGATTTTCCAGTTCATCCGCGGAACGCAGTAAAAATGCAGCTGATTCTCGGTACCCGGCCACCAGCTGCCTCACCGCATTGATCTCGGTGGGACTCAGCTGGGGCCTGGAGCTGGAGCTGCTGGAGGACCCCGAGCTGGGCGCCAGCTGCCTCTTCATGCTGAGATCCGTGGGCCCTAGAGAAATGGTCACAGAATCAGAACACAGTTTTCATTCTGGTACTTTGAACATAAGCATAATTCGTTGTTGACTTAATTCATGTACTCCTTCAGGAGAAGCTGCTGATACCTTTAATCAAAGGCATCTCTCAGCCCTAACCGGTTTGGCTCAGTGGATAGAGCGTCAGCCTGCGGACTGAAAGGTCCCAGGTTCGATTCCGGACGAGGGCATGTACCTTGGTTGCGGGCACATCCCCAGTGGGAGTGTGCAGGAGGCAGCTGATCAATGTTCCTCTCTCATCGATGTTTCTAACTCTATCCATCTCCCTTTCTCTCTGTGAAAAATCAATAATAAAAAAAAGGCATCTCTCAGGCCCAGCCAGTGTGGCTCAGTGGTTGAGTGTCCACCTGTGAACCAGGAGGTCAAGGTTCCATTCTCTGTCAGGGCACGTGCCCGGGTTGTGGGCTCGGTCCCCAGGAGAGAGCGTGCAGGAGACAGACAATCCACCATTCTCTCTCATTATTGTTTCTATCTCTCTCTCCTTCTTCCTCCCTCTCTGAAATAAAATATTTTTTTTAAAAGTTACCACTTTTCTATCTCTCTCTCCCTCTTCCTCCCTCTCTGAAATATTTTTTTAAAAAGTTACCACCCAGAAAGACTAAAGAGCAACACTGATGCAAAATGAGCGGCTGGGCGTTCTCCGGGTCTAATTTCTGGCAATCACCTCTCATGGTGGAAAGACCTTTTCTTTAATGTGTGCCTTTTAGAAAATTCAATGTCGGGTCTACTTCCCACAGGTAGAAGTTTCTCTGACGAGTAAATGACGCGGCTCACAAATGCTTTTCATTTGCTGTTTGTTAAATGATTAGACCCCACCAATTCAGACACATAAACACCCCCGGCTGTAATGCTAATGGTGCCGAGTTACTCATCAACCAGAGGGAACGGAGAGGCTGGGGAGCATGTCACATGTTTAAGTCAACTTGTAAGTGGCACAATATGGACGCGAATCTGGGTACTTTTTCCTTTCAGACCAAGGCTTGCTTCTGTGCGGTTGACTATGATTAAACATGTGGACATAGAGTGAAGTCTGAAGTGTGCAGTAAGCAAATGATTAGTACAAACAATGCCACAAAGACACTGGGCTGGGAACACTGGTTTAGGTCCTGTTCACGTCCCTTCTGTATTTATTTGCAAAAACATGTGTCAAAACTTTTTTCTCTTTTTTTTAAAGTATATTTTATTGATTTTTTACAGAGAGGAAGGGAGAGGGATAGACAGTTAGAAACATCGATGACAGAGAAACATCGATCAGCTGCCTCCTGCACACTCCCTACTGGGGATGTGCCTGCAACCAAGGTACATGCCCTTGACCGGAATCGAACCCGGGACCCTTCAGTCTGCAGGCTGACGCTCTATCCACTGAGCCAAACCGGTTAGGGCAACTTTTTTCTTAACATATATTTAAAGCGAGTCAGATAGCTCTGCCTTCTGACATTTTGTAAATGTTTACTGAATCATTTATATTTCATCATTTCTCATGCATGTACCATGTCTTTATCCAACCACCTGCGAAGGACACTTCAGTTGCTTCCATGTCTTAGCTGCTGTGAATAATGCTGCGAAGAACATAGGGCTACATAGATTTTTTTAAATTTAAATTCTTTATTGTTGAAAATATTACAGATGTCTCCTCCCATTGACCTCTCCCCAGCTGCTCCTCCCCCCCATATATAGATCTATATAAGTGTTTTCCAATTTTTCGGGTTGATACCCAGAAGAGGGATTGCTGGGTCATATGGTAGCGCTATTCCTAGTTTTTTGAGGAACCTCCGGAGTGGCTGAACCAATTTACGTTCCTACCCGAAGTGTAAGTGGATTCCCTTTCTCCACACCCTCTTCAGCACTCACTTCTCTTCTTAAGGCGAACAGCCATTCCAGCGGGCGTGAGGTGGTCTCTCACTGTGGTGGTCATTCGCGTGTCCCTAGAGCAGGTGAGGCTGGGCATCTTTTCATGTGTCTGCTGACCCTCTGGACGCCCTCCTGGGGAAGCCCATTTGTAAATTGGATGGCTTGGTTTTTGTTGAGCTGTGTAAGTTCTTTGTATATTTTGGATATTGACCCCCTTATCAGAGGCATTGTTTGCCTTTTGGTTTTGTTGTCAGGATTTTTTTTTTTTTTTTTGCTTTACAGAAGCTTTTTAGCTTGATGTAGTCCCATTCATTTATTTTTGCTTTTACTTTCCCTGTGTTTGGGGTTAAGTTCACGAAAACCACTCTGAGACCAAGGTCCATACATTTAGTGCCTATGTTTTTTTTCTATATATTTTACTGTTGTCTTTAAACCATGCTGAGTTCATAGCAGGCTAGTTACATTCCCATTTTTCCAACATTTATTGAAGAGGTTTTCCTTTCTCCATTGTATGTTTTTTGCTTCTTTGTCCAAAATTATTAGTTTCCCATGTGTGTGTGGGTTCATTTCTGGGCTCTTAATTCTATTCCATTGGTCTGTGAAAAATGAAATATTGCCATTTGTGACAACATGGATGGATCTTGAGAGTATGATGCTGAGTAAAATAAGATGAAAAAGGACAAGAACCATACGATTTCACCTGATTTCACTTATATGTGGGATATATAAAGCAGAAAGCCATAGCAAACAGACAAACAAGTGCACAGACAACAGTATGGTGTTTACCAGAGGGGACAGGGGTGGGTGGGGTGGGGGGAGGATGGAGAAGGTAAAAGTGGTCAAATTTACGGCCACGGAAAGAGACTAGACTCTGGGTGGTGAACATACAATGCAATATACAGATGGTGTATTACAGAATTGTGTTATTAACCAATGTTGCCCCCAGTAAATTTAATTAGATAAATTTATAGTTTTTTAAAGATCTTCAAATCAGACATTTGTGTTAAGACCTTTTATATCAATTCTTGTTTGATTATTAATAAGACTTTATTATATAGTTAAAGGTAAGAACTGTGACAATGAACACTTAATTGCTATAATTATTAAATTTTCAGCTGGTAATAGATGTGAAGTCCTTGAATATAACTAAGCACTTAACTAAAGGCACGCTCAAAATTGTAATGATTCTGTAACTTGAAAGTATTTCAACAGATTTTTCTAAAGACAGAACTTTTCAGAGAATGGTATTCCTTTCATGAACTAAACCAGGGATGTTATTTTATCCTTCTAGTTCTCCTTGAGGCGTGGAGATAGGTCAAGACATGACCCCGTCCACCCTCTCCGCTGGAGGGAGAAAGAAGGCTTCTGTCAGCCAGGAGGCAATGGTCCCAGGAGAGAGAAATAGCTTCCCTTGGAATTTAATTAGGACAGAGAGGAGACGAGCACACAAGAACTCTGACATCCGAGAGAAACGTATATACACGTCTGCTCTGGCCTTTCAAAGCTTTGGTTACGCAGCAGCAGTTGGCTTCCACTCGTTCACGTTATAAAATCTTGATGCTCACATAACAAGCTGGAAGGGCGAGAGGTAGGGAGGTCACACCTGCAAACAGAAATGACTGAACAAGCATCCAAGCAAATCGTTAACAGCAATCATTCCCCCACGGATACCAAGGGAAGACTATAATAATAAAAGGGTAATATGCTAATTAGACCCGATGTCCTTCCAGACAAAGCTGTAGCAGGTGGGGGCCGAGCCCCTTGCATGAATTTCATGCATTGGGCCTCTAGTATTCAAATAAAATAACTTCTCTTACCCCAAAGAGAACTGGAGCCCTGGTCCCACCGTGAGCATCATGAGCTACTTAAAAAATTTTTTTTTAACTTTCAGGAATCCCAGGACCATGCAAATCTTTATGAAAGAAAACGGAAAGGGTTTTGCTTTCAGCTCTGTAAGTCTCTAGTGCCTGGTTGCCTGACTGCGTCATTGGAAGGTGTACCATTTTGTGATGGTTTTGCTGCCAAGTTGCTGTTAGGTGCTCTCAACTGGGATTGAGAAAGGGTGGGATTAGGGCTCCAGTTCTCTTTGGGGTAAGAGAAATTATTTTATTTGAATATAGCCATCCCTTGGTATCCATGGGAATAATTCCAGGACCTCTGAGGATACCAAAATCTGTGATGTCCAAGTCGCTTATATAAAATGGCATAGTATCTGCATATCCTTCCATATACTTTCAATCATTTCTGTATTACTTAATACCTGATACCATGTAAGTGCTATGTAAATAGTTGTGCTGTATTATTTAGGGGAAAATGACCAAGTCAGTGTGTGTTTTGTACAGATGCAGCCATCATTGGCCTACCTATGTAGGAGATGTCGGCAACAACATAACTTTTTCTGTCTTCAAATATTTCCCATCTGGGTTGGTTAAATCTGTGGAAATGGAATCTGGACTGCAGTTTATGATTACTCTCCACCTCTGGCTCAAGGAGATAAACTTCCAAACGAAGACAGGGCTTCCACTTTTTTACTCAGATCACTATTAACACATTTCGTACTGCTCAGGAGTTTTCTCGTGTCTCGCGCGCCATCTGTCAAGGACCGCTCACGAGTGTTCTCGTTTTTCACGCCCATGGAAAAAGGAGCGAATCTAGATACTTATGTAAATTTTGTTTGGTCCCTCTTCATAGAGGAAAATGTTTTACGCAGTACCATACGTTAAAAAAGTACTAGGAACTTTAATTGTTTTTGTAAATAAAAATGTTATAATTATTGAAAAACAACATCGAAAGTGCATTATGATGATTTAAATAACGTGCAGTTTGCCCAAAAACGTGCGGTCCCTGGCGTATGTCTTAGAGATTTCTATGCGGTACGCAATGTGTTAACACAGGCAACTCTATAGATAGCTCAGTAATTTAGTAGCCATCCACACCTGTAACTGTTTTCTGGAAGAAAGTTGACTGCTTTTGGATCTACAGGCTCAGGATTGCATATATAAATGAAAACCACAAAAAATTATTTTGGATGAGTGTTTATTCAAAACTTCCAAGTTATTAGATTAGACAGGGAAGCAAAAATATTCACAAGTGGACAAATTATTGC